ACGTACAAATATATATATTAAGCAGAAGAGAAAGGCGAGGATCGATATTGGTAGAAGAGAACAGAAAATATTTTCTATTTACTGTTGATCCATAAGAGATAAATACTCTCTATTGATATGGATATCTATAAAAGAGAAGGACTCTACAGTGGTAAATTTGTTTTCTTATTAAATCTATAAAAGCACCCTTCATTGAATATTGGGTAAAATTATAAGATCTATCATCAGAGAAACACAAAGCTAGCTTGACTTGTTCTTGGTTTAGAATCTACTCTGTTTATAATTCAAGGGATCTAGTGCACATCATGTCTCATCTGCCCTATTACCTGAAAATCTGAGCTCTATTTGAAGGCAAGTATTTATAAAGTGACAAGAAATAAAAATTTAAACATCAATAATTTTCCATTATCAAAATATGTATATTTACATATGTAGTACCGCAATTTTCATCCCTTTCCCTTTTGCGAATTAAACAATATGATTTTCCAAATTTTTGTTTAAACTAATTTTACTTTTATTTGAATGTTTTTGGAAATATAATTTTTAAACTAAAAACACTTATATTTGTTTATATTACTCATTTATTATATTTTTTTTTGTTTTTTTTTTTCATTTGCAACATGTGCTTAAATAAAATGTAAAGTAAATTTGTTCTTTTGTTTTTTTATTTTTTGCTTTACTCATAAATGTCTTTTTTTGTCTCAAAAATTTTGTCTAAATGGCATTTGTCATCCAAAAATTTACTTTACTTAAGATTTTTCTCATTTTTGTTTTTGTTTTTTTATTTTTAGTTTTCTTTTGTTTTGTGTTAGTTTATCGTTTGGTGTAATAAATTTACGTTTAAGTTTACCACATTTAGCAAAAACACACATTTTACACTAGAAATTGTTTATAGCATTGTTTATTTGTTATTTTATTTGTAACTTCTGCTGCTACTACTTCTTCTTCTTCTCTTAATATTTTCCCCGACACATTTCAGTCAAATATTTCCTTCTTGTTCAGTGTGTGGTAAAAAGTTATTCCATATATATATATATACTATATATATATATTGTATTTTCTTTGAGTATTTTGTATTTGTTGCTGTTGTTGTTGTTGATAAAATCATAAGTACAACTACACGTTTAATAATAATAATAATAATCATAATCATATAGTTTATGTTTTGTTTCTTCATCCATAAGCATTAAATTCTATTAACTGAATGCTTGCTGTATTTGTTGTGGGCATTTTGTGGGCGTGGCTGTTGCTCAAGCAACTGAACTAAAGCTACAAACTAAATAAATGTTCGTTATGTTAAAGCTTAAGTTAAGAATAATAAAGAAATAAGGCAGAAAGGTATTGATTGAGGTTTTGCATTCCATATTTCGTATAAATTAAATATATGTATGTATATATGTGTATGTATATATATATGTGTGTGTGTGTGTTTAGCGAATAATAGAACTTAAACAACTAGTAAATAACATGGCAAAAATTATACTCGTATTAAGTAACTAAAATATGAAGTTCCTTGTTTCTTTTTTTCTTGTTTTTAAATGGCAAATTAAAGCTATTTCACTTCACAAATGATTTTTTG